AGAGAGAGAGAGAGAGAGAGAGAGAGAGAGAGAGAGAGAGAGAGAGAGAGAGAGAGAGAGAGAGAGAGAGAGCGAGAAAACAGGCGCTCTCGGAAAGGTGAACGGAGAGAGAACCGAAGAAACGAAGGGCATTCGGAATGCGGTACTGTTATGCCTTACGGTATACAGACAGGACGGAAATTAGGACCACACCGCGACGCGGCGCCATCGTTGGCCATCATTCGTTGGCGTTCCGCTCATCTCGTAGAGCAGAGCGCGACTTCTTCCCGACACGCTTCCTCCTCCTCATCGTTCGTGTTTCGTCCTGATTCCTGCGCGTCGCCAAAGCACCGAACAAACGGAAAAGTTGCCTGCACGTAGTCCCACCGTTGTGACCGTTGCTTCACGGTCCAAAGGACGGATATTGCAACCTTTTCGTCTTTCTATACAATAAGCTGCAGGATACCTATTGTCGAAAAAATCTCTCGCATTTCTTAAAGAGTTAATGGGGGATCCTAAAAGAATGTTTTTTGTTCTATGAAAATCATCTATATTGGATAGAAACGTGTACACTTGTTTGCGAAATGGTTTAAACACATTTTTTTATGAAATAAGATCGCGTATCAAATTATGAGTCAGATTGTGAATCACTATTCGTGAGTTTACGCGGTAATTTATTGTCGCAGAAGCTGAAGTGATAACATGTGACATATCTAACGTTATAACTGTCATAAAAGATTAAAAAAATGTATACATATATTGATTGTGTTCTTATCTATCAGATAAGAATGTAATAAAGGAGTAATATTTATTTGTACTGCCACTTTGATTCCTGTTATAAAAGATTGCAAGTTCATAAACAGTGATTCGCAACTGTGACCATTTTATACGCTTCATCGAAAAGAAATAGGTTTAAACCGTTTCGCAAACGAGTGTATATTGTCTGAGTTTATATGTACAAAAAATTAAATTGTGTGAGTGTATGTGTAATTTGTGGATAAACATTTCGCCTTGAAAAATATGACTCACTTCGAAAGTCGAGAATCTAAGGGGACATTCAGAAAAATTCTAAGGGGACAGTCGAAAAATAAAAGGTTTTTACGAATTTTTTCGAAGAAATAGATAAAAATGTCAATGTAAATTTTTAACTGTACTGTTTACATCGTGTCAAATATAAAAAAATTATTTTAAAAAAGAAATTTTTAATTATTTTCAAAAAGATTAAAATTCTGTCCAAGCTTTCTTGTGCTGAGTGCGGTGTTAGCGAACGCCTCTAGCTAGATGAACAATATTACCAGCTCGTGTAATAATCCGAAACAAATGGTACAAAAAATTTAGAAACTGTATTAAATTTGCTGAAGGATGAACCTAAATTCTGTGGGAAACTTCTAAAATTTTTTTCGGGATATTGAATCAAAAAGAAAGAGAAGAAAAATGATTTGTAATTTCAGGATGTTGCTGTTTTGTTAAATTTTCACTTTCTGCATATAACAGGTTTATCCTCCAGCAAATTTAATGTAGTTTCCACAATTTTCTTATCCCATTTATTTCAGATTATTACACGAGCTGTAATATTGTCCACCAGCTAGAGGCGTTCGGCGACACCGCGTTCAACCTTGTCGACGAAACTTCAGTTTTTCTTGAAAAAGAAAATAATTTTTTTATACGTAAAACAATGACAAATAGTATAGTCAAAACTCTATATTAATACCTTTATTCATATCTTTGTAAAAAATTCACAAAAACCTCCTATTTTTTGACTATCTAAATCAGAACCACTTTCCCTTAAGTGTTAAAAATCGCAAGATGAGGTGTAAGTGCTACGAGTTTTGAGTTGGATGCTGAAAGGTAGATGTTAAGGGTTAAGTGTTACGCGTCGAAGGCACAAAATCTGGAGCGGAAAGTTGAAACTGAAGAGTAAGATGCGAAGAGTGGGGAAATCGAAGGCTGAAAGTTACGGGAGCAGACATAAGTAAAGAAGAAGTGTGTTACAAAATATATAAAAGTATTAATAACCTCCTTAACTTTATCACTGATACTTTTTCCTTCCAATGACGCCAGAGGGAAGGAGCGCTAACAGAAAAACGAATCGATCGTTCCATAAAAGAGGCATACAATTGCGGCCGCATAGTCGAACGTGGGAAGATCATTGATACAAACTCGTCGAGGTGTGTGGAAACATTTCCTTTTTATATATATTTCTTTTTTTATATGGATTTTTTTACATTTTACTGCAACTATACGATTTTTAAATGAAATGCATTTCTCCGAGGATGCATTTCTCCCGAGTCGCGTACTAAATACATTCGATAATCTTATGAATGATTCCTTTTGTAAAAACAGCGTGATGATAAAGTATAATATTTTTATGATATTTGTGATTTAATGTAACAGTCTTGTGTCTCCTTTGAGACAGATTGATAAATTTTTTAGTTTTTAGGGTCAATATAAATCCCTGATCTCTTTTCCGAGATGACGTCGCAGGTTGTTAAGGTAACATTTCGCGTAAAATTCTATGGAGGGTTTCCAGGGGACCCCTCTATCCCTCTTGCGTAAACGTGTTTACAAGGGAGCGAATGTAGATTTGCAGGCAATCTCGATTTCCGAGCAAATGGAATTCTTGTAATATTACAGTTCAGGTAACAGCCACAGTCGGGACGGAAGCACTCGCTCGAACAGATCTCCGATCCCTTGCCAAATTTTGACTCAGGAAAGGTGTAGTTCCTTTTATCGACATCCGCAATGCAGATATTTTTTTCGAGTCAACGACATTAATGTGAACCTTGCATCGGGCATTGCGCCGTAGAAAATATCAGAGTCGGAGAGGAAGAGAGAGAAAGGAAAAGAAACGGCGTATTGAAATCTCTCAAAGAACAAGTTCATCTTGCCGCGAACATAAATTGGAGCTCGTTTCGTTTCCTCCCTGCTAGTATTTTCCCCTATTCCTGCGAGCTACACTTTATTTAATGCAACCGTATCTCCCCCTCTCTCTCTCTCTTTCCCCCCATTTCTATCTCTCCTCCTCCTCCACCTTTCCGTTCTTCTCCCTTCTGATAAAAATAGACCCTACATCCCCCGCTCTTCCATGGCGAGGGAATCGATCGGAAGCGAAGTACCAGAAAATAATTGCGCTTGTGTGAGTCTCTAAATTTCGGCTGCCATTTTATCGGGACTTTCATCAGCCTCCCGCAGCAGCATACCGTCGAAGTCTCCTCCGCATCTCCCAAGATCGTCTACGAATCGATCTCGATCGTTTATTGTCTCTTTGCCTTTCGTTTTTTTGTTTAATTCCTCGCTCTCTCCGATTGAAAATCGCACGTCGCGCAAAGTCCGAGGAAGATTACAAAACAGAAGGCAAGAGTCGCGCGGACTTTCATTTCTCCCGCGTATTAAGGATAAAGGTCCGCTACTGGCTCTCTCTCTCTAAATGCGCCGTAGGATTTTCGACACGCGCCTTAACCTATCTCGCAAAGCACGAAATTTATGCGCAACGCGAGATTTTGTCCCGACCTCGCGCACGCCCGGATCACAACCTCGCTCCGCCGAGGAGAACGCAATATCCCTCTTTATTTCTTTAGATGGATATATTTAATACGGAACCGTAAAAACGCGCGGAAAAAGCTGCACACGACGGAGATAGATAACCTGTGAGACAGCCGCAGTGTGTGTCAGCGTACCACTTCTCGCAATATCAATTCGACGACACATTTTTTACGCCGTCGAGGTCCCGCAGAAAGAGAGACACATGATGAAAGCCACACCAGCGACATTTCTAATCTCAAATATGTCCTTTGGTTCTCCCCAAAAGCGCGAAGTAGCGCTCCACCTCAAAACAGCCGACCTGACCGGGCGCTTGCTCCTCCTTTCTTTCTTCTTTTCCTCGGGAATTCTTACCGAACTATCCTCGAAATGAAGAGCTCCAGGTCGGATTCTATTTACGTTCACCTCGGCGGATGATTCTACGAGAGTACTCTCGGTCTATCTCCGTCCCTCACGGCCGAATCAAATTGACATTTATACATCGCTGAGAAATTCCGAGTTATCATAACAGCGAGGTCCGAGGGACCGGCGCGCGGGACGGTATAGTGCTTTATGCAAAATCCGCCGGTCGTCATGCAGATTTTATTAGTCTCCTTTATCATCCGCATCTCTCGACGAAGCTGGGAAAGAAACCGGGGGAGAGAAAGAGAAAGGCAGATAGGAGCGGGGGAGCGGTGTGGGGAGGGGCGGGGGGCCGCGAAAGAAGAGAACGGAGGAAACTCTCCTGGAAGATTCCAGTCCTTCCAGCCTGGAAACGCGTGAGATGGTACGGGGGTGGGGTGGCAGTGAACGGGGGCAAAAGAGGGGAGCAACGGCGGTCGTTTCCGCTTGCGTTTTCCCGGAGAAAGAGCTGGTTGGCCGTCGTCTCGAGGATAGTAGCCGCGAAAGGGAAAAGTCCGGGAAGAGGCGAGGAGGCGACGTCGATAACGCTGGAAAAACGTAAAAGGCGCTCCGCGGAGAAAGAACCGGCGGAGCAAGGTGAGAGGAGCAGGAGGAGGAGAGGGAGCGAGAAAGGGAGAGGCAGCGGCGAGGGTAGGGGAGGGAAAGGAACAGAAAGATAGATAGATGGATGGAGAGGGGGAGGGAGAAAAAGAGCTAGAGAAAAAGAGAGAAGGATGGAGCCAAGATGGTGATATGGGGAAGAACGAGGGAAAGGGGAGGTTGTTTCTCCCCGTTGCCCGTTGGGGTAAGAAGAAGGAAGAAGAGAGGGAGAAAAAGAGAGAGAGAAAGAGGGTGGCGTATAACCATGGAAGCGAAGGGGCTACGAGAAAATAGCGTCTTAGACGGCCGGGGAGAAGCGGCAGCGAGGGAACGAGTAAATGGAACCAACGTACGCGGCAAAAGAGAGAAAGGAAGAGGCGTGGAGGGAGGGGGGCGGCAGCGGGAGGGGGCGAGCGGAGAGTCGAGGAAGAAGCGATGAAACGACCGAGAGACAAGAAAAAGGAGGGCGAAGAATGGAGGGAGACGGAACGACAGTCGTGAAATGGATGAGAAGGGCGAAGGAACGAAAAAGGAGAGGGAGGGAGAGAGAGAGAGAGAGAGAGTGAGAGGGAGGGGGGGTGAAGCGAGGAGGGAGCAGTGGGACGCTGAAACACGAAGAGCAAGCTCGTCTACTCCGCGAATGGCAGAGGGACAGACGGGGAAAAAGAAAGAGGACGCGACATGGCAGGGAGGCGAGGTGAAATTGGACACAAAAAGCTCGAAGAAAAATTGAGATGAATCGCGGCAGGGAAGATGGAAGGGCGGGCTCTCTCTCGCCGTCCTCCCGCGCGTTTCTTCGGGGGTTGCGAAGGAGAGCGCGAGCGCAAGGGATGAAAACCGGTCGCTAATGTCGACGTTTTGCATTTCTTTCTTGTCCTCCTTTCTTTCCGTTTCCTCTCCCACTGATATATATGTGCGCGCGGTGACGTCCTGCGCAGCGCCCTTTTCTCTCTGTCCCTAACACTCGCGGCATTTAACCACTCGGAAACTTATCAATCGTTTCGAGCAGCGCTCAAACTTTCCGTTGGTGCGATCTGCAGGGAATGCAATCTCCAAGACGAAGGATCCTCTGTACCCATCCCCTTGCCCTTCATCCTCCTCCTCGTTTACACGCTTTTCCATCTCCGCCCAGAAGCACTCTCGCATCGGTTTACCGTCTCTTAGGAAAGCAGCGGCTTTCTAACGCGCTCGAAAGATCAGCTCGCGCTAGCGGAGCTAACCGGAGCTGCCGCGAGTCCCCGTGAGCGTTTTTATTATCCTCCTCTGACGTTTCTCGATGTCGCGCCACGCACCGTGGAGGAGACCTCCCGGCCGACGTCGTTTCCTTTCACCCTCGCCGCGTCGTTGCTCGCGGAATCGAGGAAACGAGCTCCCGTCTCTCTCTCTCTCTCTCTCTCTCTCTCTCTGGGTCGCGCGCCACGCCGTGAATACGCGATCTCTCCGGCATTTTTCTTGGAGCGCGCGCGCGCTCCGATGTCGTCCGCGTCGTTGCTTCTTCGGCATCGCCGTCGCCGCCGGCCGCTTCTTCTCGTTCTCGTTCGCGCGACCATCAGTGAAAGTGACAGGAAAATCACTCGACGGCCGCCGCCGGGACCGTAACTCCCCCGGAGAAACCGGGCGAAACGTTTTAGATCCTTAGAACGCGCGCCGGAGGTAATATCGACTGACGAGAAAGCGTATCGGCGGACGCAATCGGCTGATCGTCACCTCGAATTTCCACCGTACGATCGATATAATTTTCCAAGTTAACGGTCGGATAATTTAAAAGCGTCGTGGACGCTAGGTTTCGAGATGAGCCGTATCTGAGGTACGACTGAGGTGAGAGAAACAAGACCGTGCAAGAGCCATTCGCGCACACAGAGAAATATACACTGCACTCAAATAGATGTTACTCGTTTCAAGTGTCTCATAAATTTATGTATCCACGCAGATCTATCACATGTTCATCACAAGCATTAAATGTATTCAGAATGTATTCTTGATCCTAGCAAGTTTAGCATTTCAATCAAGAATATCACGTTAAAACGAAAATTCGATTTGCTTGCTACAGAGAGTCGAACCAACTTTTCCTCCGATAAAGTTTCATAATATTCTTGTAAGGAGAACAAATTCGTCTTTTGAGCACATGATAACGAGCTTCTCTTAAATTTGCGATGAGTATATTTTAACACTATTATTGAAAAAATATTCTCTACTGAAAATAACCATTACTGAAGCCATTTAAAACCAAATAACCATTATTGAAACAAGGAAAGTAATTTCTTTTCTCAACAGTACAATCATATTTTTCTGTGTGCAAATTAAATTTTAATTTTAATTTGGAAATGGATGTCAATACACTGAGAGAAAAAGTATCCAAGAAATAAAAAGGTATTTATTGGGTAATAACACTAATATATATTTCTTACACTAATATATATTTTCCAAACATAAGAAAATATTCATTTTCTTATTTTTCTGAAAGTAATTCTGTTTAAATAAAAGAATTTAGATTTATGTAAATATGTTATTAGTACTCAAACAACAATATTTTTTAGACATTTTTCTTTCAGTGTAGTATATGAATAATAATTAGGATAAAGGTTCGATTTGTGACGTGGAAAGTTGATTCGCCGCGTATGATGAGCTGGTCATGTGCATTTAATAT